TCTACTTATTGAAACATTTACGATCTACTTAGTGAAACAGCGCCCGATTTGTAGGTGCTTCGCATTCTCTATATGTCCCTGAGTTTTTTTTCATCCACTCTATAACCATTCCATTATTTGACCGTAAGTTGACCATTAGATTTTTTTTTTCAAAATAACTAGATTGCCCTTTCTCATAATTATATGCTATCTTATTGAAAAAAGCACAGTTCTTAACGTGAAAAGGGTTTATTTATGGAAAGACAAACATGCACAATTATTTGATCATAAATTTGAAAACTAAAATATAAAATAAATTTCAATCGGATTTGATAAAATTTGTGCAACATTTTCGCTGAAATTTAAACCCAAATAGAAAAATAATTTTGGTTTTCAATTTCTCGGTGAAACTTTCTATGGATTTCATTAATTTTTTAAAAAAATATTTGAAAACTTAAATTTTATTTTTCAAATTTGAGGTCACATGATTATGTCCTATTTTAAATTAACATTTTCACATCAAGATCCATGTTTTTGAAGTATGTAGCTTAAGTATGAGAAAAGAACAATATAGTTATTTTTCAAAAAGAAAAATAATGGTCAACTCATGGTCAAGAACTAAAGAATGGGTATAGAAGGGATCAAAATAAAAACTAAGGGGCATACAGGGGATGAAGTAAAATTTAGGAATATAGAATAAATTGAGTCAAAACTCATGGATACAAAACAAATTTTCTATAGATTTATATGTTGAACTGATATATGACTAGTCCATTCAATTATCAGTGGTCCATTTGGCGTCTTTGCACAACATCTGGTCGATGGACAAGAATATGAGAGAAAACTTTGGCAAAATGTACAATTTTTATCCTGCCCCATTGAAGGTAATTAAAAATATATATATAATGAAAGCGAAAGGAAATCATGCACAAATATTGAAGCCAAGTGGATAGATGTGATAGTGGGTGCTGCATATGCTGTTGAGTTCATAGTACCCACAATACTATGCATTAAAATCAGTTTCACACAATACTTAATTACAACACATGAGAACAAGAACAATAATAGAAAAAAAAGGAGAACAATTAAGAACAATAACAAAAAAAAGGAGAGAAAACAAATCCATATGCATAATGTGAACGCCATCAAGGAAAATCATGAGCTAGCTAGCCCCAACAGATAAAATGTTGGCATGATCCATCATCACAGGGCTTGCATGCATATATAGATCCATCATATATCATCACACCCTTCTCCAGCTCAACTTCCTTGAATGCACATCAAAAACAGATGGCATTTATATCAACACACATTCTTACTACCACTGCAGAGATGCTCTCTCTTCCCTTTCAAATTCCATCCATCCATCCCCTTTCACTGATGAAGAGGACCAGAAATGGATCACTACTCTGATGGCTGAAACCAAGCATGCCATGGGCCTGGGAGAACTTATTCTGTGTAGACCCAGTTCCAATCATGTGTGCAGCAAGAGGACCACACCCCAATGAAGAGAAAAGAAGGGCAAAAGCTTTATTCATCTGGTCCAAGCTCAGCTACTACCAATCAACCAAGCATACATATATACATTTATAGATATAGATACATCATATTGATGCATGCATGGAAGGCCACACACAAAAGAGGAGATTTTTTTCTTTTTTGGAATAATGGATGGATGGACTGATGGATAGAGGCGTATCACCTAGCAACACATGGCAGGGCCCCTAGGCAAATAATGCCTGTTTATTGGGAATAAATGGCAGAGCCAAAGCTATATGTCACATGTTAATGATAAGAATAATAAGTGTTGTTTGGTTGCCTCCCATAATTTACCATATTTTGTGAGGTATTCCCCCTATTTCAAAATATAATGGATTCTGCGTTTGTTCTAAGTCAACTATTCTAAGTTAAGTTTGAGCATTTGTAGAGAGAGTATTACACCTAACGCATCAAAGAAGTAACTATGAAAACATATCTCATAAATCTAATGATGCTCATTTGATATCATATTTTTTATCATTATTTTCTATAAATTTAGTCAAACTTAGGATAGTTTGATTTTGGACAAACAATGACCCCTATAATTTGGAACGGAGGGAGTATAGTTGTTTATTTCGCTATCACAATTATGTTGTGCCATAATTTTTTTTATACATTGGACCCACATGTTACAAATATTTTTTTACTAAACTTTATTAGACACTCTTAGGCCAGGTTTGGCAATGAAGAGTAACATATATATGTATATGGTGAGAGAACTAAACATGCCCTAATACAGGCAACATATGAGACATATGTTCATGTCTACATATTGAGAAGCCACTTAATTAGGCATGCAAAGGAGGCTAGCTAGCTGCTGCAAGATGCATATGCATGCAGGAATTGACCACAAGGGGGCCTGGCCTTGGCTGGAAAGGGCTAGAGTCCATTGGGATGTATATATATATATATATATATATACTCCCTCCGTTTCAAAATGTTTGACACCGTTGACTTTTTAGTATGTGTTTGACCATTCGTCTTATTAAAAAAATTAAGTAATTATTTATTTTTTTTATATCATTTGATTTATTGTTAAATATACTTTAATGTACACATATAGTTTTACATATTTCACAAATTTTTTTAATAAGATGAACGGTCAAACGTATGCTAAAAAATCAATGGTGTCAAACATTTTGAAACGGAGGGAGTATATGGTGAGAGAGATAACCACCGGCCCCCTAGATAGCTATATAGCATTAGTTTGTGTGATCACTGATCAGGACATGAGCATGTATGGTGACCTGTTCTTTAATGCTGGAGTGCAACATCATCAGCACCATGGCTTAATCATGTGGTGATATTGCCCTTCCACTGTCAACTAGAGATGGTGGGGGCACTTAGTTTTTGAGTCAACTACTCAAAGTTAGTTTGGTCTCTATCTATCTAGCAAGCTTGGAGAAGTGATGGGATTAGTGACTGAACTATTTGAGGAAACAGAGAGAGAGAGAGAGAGAGAGAGAGAGAGAGGAAGAAATGAACTGTTGGGGATATAATTGTTTTTCAGTGTTTGGCCCCTCCAAGCATAGAGCTGACTTCTTCTGTTGTGATATTTTGGTTCTCTGTTGAAGTTGAATATATACAAGCTAGATAATGATCACATGGACCTAGACTTCTACATATGTTATATGAATAATTTAAAGAGATGTCAGATAGGAGACTACGGGCCTTGTTTAGTTCTATTTTTTTTCCTAGAAACGTCACGTCGAATCTTTGGACACATGCATAAAGCATTAAATATAGATAAAAAGAAAAACTAATTATACAGTTTGCATGGAAATTACGAGACAAATCTTTTGAGCCTAATTAGTCCATGATTAGCCATAAGTACTACAGTAACCCATATATGCTAATGACGGATTAATTAGGTTTAATAAATTCGTAAAACGGTTTCCAGGTGAGTTATAAAATTAGTTTTTTCATTTGTGTCCGTAAACCCCTTCCGATATCTGGTCAAACGTCTGATATGACACCCAAAAATTTTCTTTTCGCGTAACTAAACAGGGCCTACATATATGTCCATTCGCTCTGATCAGTTGAGCTAGGACTAATAATGCACACAAATATGAAGAGAGCAACCAAATATAATTATAGCTAAACATTTTATATGTATATTATTCATGATTCAAAAGACAAGCTTGAAAAATAGACATAGGATCTCCAAACTTGGGATAAACAAAACTACACAGGTGCTTATTGAAATCGGTGCAGGTAGAAATATGTATCTGGATTTATGTAAAGAAAAAAAAAAGAAAAAGAGTCTACACTAGTGTTTCCTTTATGCCGGTTACTGCGTGGATATTAACCGGGTTATAAAGAAACCCTCTACTTTGTGCAAGTGACCAGAGATGGTATGAAATATTTTCATATTTTTCTTGATTTTCTTAATATTTTTATAAACCTGGTCAAGAATAGATTTACATATATCAATATATACATATATAATGTACAATTATGGAATAGAGACCTATAATGAAAAATGAAAGCGACTAATTTTAGAATTGAATAGGAATGCCATTTCATTCGGTGGTAAAGTAATGTCGTGGTAATTAAGCCATCGGATCAAATCCGATAAAGGTTTTCTTTTTTTTTACTTAGTGGTGGAATATTATGGTAACCGGACTACCACCCGGGTACGGTAACGCCTGGTGACCCAAATTAAAAATAAATAAATGAAAATTTTGAATTTTTATAATTTATCCGGTTTTTCCATTATTCAGTGAGATAACTATATGACGTGGTTACCAAGCTTACCACTGGATACAATACGAGAAAATCAAATGTCATTGACAAGCACTAAATTTTAAGAAATATCATCGACAACTACAAGTATGAGTTCCATGAAAAGCTACCGTACAAGCGACTTTATCTAAAAAAGTATCATCGCCGTTAGGGTTTTGTTAGCAGCTCTCTTTCAAGTCCTATAAGATGAATAGTGTATTTAACCGTGCGCGATGAACGAACCCAAATGGCGATAGCATTTCTAGAATAAAATCGCTTCGCTTGTTTGATGGTATTTTATGAAACTTGTACTTGTCAATGGTGTTTCTTTGAATTTAGTGTTTGCCAATGGCATTTTTTGAATATTCTCATACAATAACTCCTCCAAGACGTTTCAAGGACCCGGATGACTACTCCTTCCGTCCCCCCAAATCAACTTCTATAAACAGAACCAGACAGGCACATCACCGTCCTCTGTCAAATGAAATGAACCAACCTTGACGTGATCACGCGACAGGTTGAAACTAGAAGCAGAAGCAGATCACAACCAACTAACCAGTCTGGGCTACATGGAAACTCCAGAGGTGTTCCTGTTTTTGACAAACTTCCAAAATCTACCTCAACAGCAGCAGATCTCACAAGCAACAGCTGCCGTTATTTCTAAATAGAATGAGCTAACTATCTCGGAACAGAAATCCCAGAACAGCATATATAACACTAGTAGTTGCCAAAATTTACTCCGAAGCTCTTCAATCTCATTAAAGGACACAAGATCATTGGAGAACTGCATCATGTCAATGCAGGGTTAAATCAACTAAGGAGAAAGTTAACAGTCACCAGGAACTGGAAGTGCAATGTATACAAAAGAGATGTTAGCTGTTCAACCATGATCACAGCATACTCGTCGACAACTCTTTGAAATCACGAAAAAGTACTAGTCGCGCCTCCTTTTAGGAGTCCAAATAACCTGTTAACGATGCTGAAAAACCATGGTGACAGAGCTCTAACGACTACAGAACGTTCGGCAATCAGGTTATCCAAGACCGTCTCCCTACAGGTAGTAATATCCTAGCACCGGCAACCACCATTTCTTCCTGCGCAAACAAAAGCATCGTATTAGTAAAAAGTGTTTATTGGTTTTCTATCTAAAATGACCAAAAGGATGCATGACAGCCATCTTTTGAACAGCACACGTCATGGGGATATATTTTTTTCCCCTGTAGATCGTGTTTCAATCATGTGCTTAGTAGAGCACCAAGAAAGAACTTTATTCATGTACGGTCCCAACTTAGCAATCAGCAATGGATGGAAGCACATCAACTATTGAGTGGTCAGTAGCAGGGTTGGATTTGGAAGCATATTAATAAGCCACTAGTCGCAACACATGGCAGGGGCCCAGATAACTATGCACTATGCAGTTCTTTGGAAAAACAAGTAGGAAGTAGCTGACTGATCATTTCAGATATTACTGTAAACCTCTATCTCTATCTCTCTCTTCTACTAAAAAAAAGAAACAAGAGAAACTGGTGATATTTCTGCTATTTTTGGTCATGCTTGTAATATTCATAGTATCCTTAGGTACTTCAAATGGGAGTTGGCGTTGGTGATAGTATGCTTTTCATAGCCATAGGATAGACTATTCCGTGGCCTACACATATGTAAACGTGGCTGCTGGTTGATAAGATATTGCTATATGGCATATAATTGTCTAGATTTAGGGCAAGTATTATTCCCTTTCTAGAACTCAGAACTTACAGTCTATTTATTTTGTTTTGTCTCAACATGCAGGCACAGTGCTAGTATAAAGATGAAAATTCCTATTGATTTCTATTGAATTAACTAAACTTATTTCCGATCACAGGCTGGCCACCAATTAAACCAAAGCCCAACTGCAAATATGCCATAGTTAATAATTTTAACCAACAAAATGTAAGAAGCCTCTAATATCTACACAATTTGTGCTAGAACTATTGTAGAGTCTACATATAGGCATAACAGCTAGTTTTTCAGGAGCAGGAGGGTATGGCAAGTTGACAACTCAATATTTACTATTCAGAACCATCGATTGATGGAAAAAAATTACAAAGATAAAGTCAAACTAAATAGAGGTTTAAAGAGGACATGAAAATAATACATGGTACTAAGGGGAAAGGAAAACTTCAAGGTGGGTCATGACATGGCATCAGCATATAGGAATGGATTGACTTATGTCCAATGCACGTGGTACACTATGATCATTGTCTAAGCAAATAAGCAGACAGCAGTATTTGGAAGGAGATAAAGAGGTTTGAACCTTGTTGAGCAAAAGTAGTTGTAAATGGTGGGCGCGGGGCAAATAATCATGGAAATTGACATGTAAAGTATGTACGTGTCAACTTCACAAAAAACAGAAACTGATTCTATAATGCAGTTGCTGCTACTGCGAGTAATCAAACTACTAACCCCGTCACAAAATATAACTACCTCTGGTTATGTACCTGGACAAGTGTTTGTCCAGGTACACAGCCAAGCAGCTGCTATATATTTTGGGACGGAGGTAGTACTAGTAATTCAAAACAGCTAATAGAATAAGAACCAGCACAAATACTAGGTTTTTATATAGTTCTTATGTGATAACAAACAGTCCAAAAGGCTTAATAGAAAAATACTATCGAGTATCAACTCATGCAACCAAGCAACATAGCAGATAGCAGTTCAAAGATTGGTGCCTGAACTATTCACATGCTTGTATCAGAATGTGCAGCACAGCAATATTACTTTCTGGCATAATAAGTAGTAATAACAAAGTAAAATTGAAACTGAACACATAAAAAGTTCATTTTGAAAACCTTGATTGATGTTTTCAAATATGAATTATGCAGCATAAAAAAATTGGAAGTCACATTTCTTTCTGTGAAAATATGATTGAAAAAACATATAATTTGATGATTGAAGCTGTTATCTTGTTGAGGTAGAAGCACAAAATCTGCACGCCTGCACCATATGTTCTATTTGGAAGATTGTGCAACATGCTCTACAAATGCATTTTACAGTAGCAAGTTGAAATATTCAATGAAATGGATCAGTTGCATAACAAAAAGCAATATATGATGATGGGGTGAGCAAATTGATCCAGGTTCATGGTCTCGTTGACCGGGAATATAGATCTGAACTTTTTCTTAGCTAAAAATCAAGTCAAAATCCCACCTGAATCAGCTCAGTGCTGATAGGCTCATCGTATATAGGAAAGAAAATGCAAATCCCCCAATCTTATTCCTTAGCCACATATGCACTTGGCACTTCCACAGTTGAAACCCACATGCACTTTTCCAAGACTCTATCCAAACTCACTTCCAACCAACCCCACTTCCTGGTCTCTCCTAAACTCATAACTCATAGAATGACAAATCAGACAACACTCGCAGAACCTTTCTATTTTCCATCTTAGCATCATTCAACCAAGTGCCAAAGGAAGCCTTGAGTTAGCCAAGCTTCACTAGGATCACTTGAGTACTGGTCATTTCAAGCCTTCTGAGGAAGCTTGTTTAAGCTTATCCTGAGCAAAGCTCTAAAATCTCAAAAGTGATACACGGAACATAATGCCCAAATAACAGGGATATGTCAACTAAAAAAATCTTAAACACAATCTAAAGTACCTTTTATAAGAATCCAAAGCCTATAGTGCTGGCTCCTACTCCAAGTGCTCACACGTCAAATGAGAGTATGACACTATCCCGGCATAGCTTGTTCACTATCCAGTCTGATTCAAACTTAATAAAGGGATCTTAAAACTATTCAAATTAGTAAAGCTATAATGGCTGTTTTTTTCTGATAAAAGAATCGCAATTCAGGCAAACACAGTAATCTGCTCTAGCATTAAAGTTAGATATACAAAGACAGCTAGAATCTGCAAGGAATCAAAACACTAAAAATGGGTTACAAAAGCACTCCACGGTAACAGCATAAGAATAGATACTTCAACATTACATGATTTAAAAGGGTATCCAATTGAACCATCCAATGGTTGAAAATGCATGAGGACTAACTGTAAGACAATACTATATCAAACAAGTACAGAAGACAAACAATGAAAGCACAAAATTAGGTTAAGTGGACATCTACAGGCACACCTACCCAAGTCATACAATGCGACCATAGATTCAAAGGATGCAAGACAGGATCATTTTGGGAAAAGTTCACCAAATCTCCAAAAAACAAACTCATTTGAGCACAACAATGCACTTGCTTCAGCCTTAAACTCGTTCACAAATGCAACATTAGTGTGTGACGTTTGCACACGTTACCTGCGGGTCAGGTGAACCCACATGTTTTTTTTTTTTTTGGCAATCATAGAAGACCATTTCTATCAACGCTCTAATCCTGGTTCAGCAAAGGGATTGACCCATAGGGTTCTAAATCTAGCTTCAAAAACATGCAATTAGGAAGGTGTTGTCCAATTGTTCAAAAGCATTTCTACCTGACAATAAAAAGGCATATTCACACTTAATATGCACAATGCAGATGCGCATTCACATCCCAAGTGATGGAAACACGGCACAAACATCCAACTGGACAAGGCTAAAGGACTAAATTCCAGCCAAACCTATAGATTAACTCGACAATGAATTAGTAGAAAATTAAGGAGCACGATTCAAATACATCGGTACGGCAGCTAGATCCCCAAAAATGGATCTAATCAGAAAAGCATTGTGGATGAAGGGGGTCGAAGAGGCATTATTACCCTAGCGAGACTGTTGAGCCGAGAGAAGCCTAATCGCTGTCCTCCCCCGTCCCCGGCCTGGTGGCCGCGAGCCATGTCGACGTCGACGTCGGCGTCCTCGTCGTCGTCGTCCTCCGCGGCCTCCTCCGGCGGCACCAAGTAGGCCCCGGGCTGCGGTGGCGCGCGGCGGCGGGTCCGCGAGGGGAGGATGTTGTTGAGGTCGACCTCGGCCAGCGGGTCGTCGCAGAACCCGTCGTCGCTGTCGTCCCCGCCACCGCCGCCGCCGCCTCCCCCACCTTCCTCGTCGTCGTCGTCGTCGTCGTCGTCGTCGTCGTCGTCGCTGCTGTCCTCGTCGCTGCCGCCGCCCTCCTCCTCCTCCTCGTCCTCGTCCTCGACCACCATCTTCCCCTTCCCCTTGTCCGCAGCCCGCGCCCTGGCGGCCTCCTCGGCGGCGGCCTCGTCGGCGTCGGGGCGGGCGGACTTGGGTGGCGGGTCGAGCGGGGCGAGGTCGGTGGCCTCGGCGTCGGGCTTGCGCTTTGCCGGCGAGGGCGAGGGCGCGGGCGCGGGGTCGGTGGCGGGTGCCTCGTCGGTGGCCGCCATCGCGGAGGGGAGAGCTAGGGTTCAAGGAGACAGCGCGAGCGACGCGAGGAAGGAGGAGAGGAAGAGGAAGAGGGGGAGACGCCGAGATGGTGGGTGTTGTGTTGTGTTGTGTTGATTTGCGAAGGGGAGAAGAGATGGGCTTTCGATGTTATGGATTCTGCTGAGAGGTGTTGTTGGGCCCCGAAACAATTGCAGGCACAGGCCCATGAAGGTTGTGGGGCATCATCCGTTTTGCCATGGGCCATGGGCCAGCTTAGCTTGGTTTATTGCGAAACGAAGCGGATTATTAGCATATGCTCGATTAAATATTATATATTCTTTTAGAAAAAATGAACTAATATGTTTTTAAACAAATTTCCTATTTAAATATTTTTTGAAAAAATAATGATAAAATAAATAAAAAATATATATTTCTTTTGAATAATAAAATTAATTAAATGTATGTTTAAAAGTTAATTACATCGTATATTAAAAAGAAATTAAGAGAGTACGGTATCTTATGTTAGCAAAATTAGTAGGCTTTTTATTCAAGTACCTTTATATTACATCTTCAGGTTTATGCATCTAAGTTGCGCACAGCCAAGCTTCTTATGCCAAAGCAAGAAAGAAATTCGATTAAGTACCTAAACCAATAGTGCCAAAAGTCTAACCACATTAGCACGGGAGGTTACATTTGTGGCTAATTATTTTTTTGTTGGTATAGTAGACATGTCCATTGACAGCGAAGAGTCCATATATGATATGGCGACTTTGTCAATCTTAAGATATGTCGGTCTAATCTTTTGAATGTATTTATACTATACGAAGGGTGAGCGTGTGCACATTTATAGGAGTGATTATGTGTGTTATAAACATTTACGTTTTTACCATGTTAATATATATATATATATATATATATTCATACTACATTTGGTTCTAAAGTTTTCTTCATCTTTATCCAGCGTACTTAGATGTCACACTTCCAAAAAAAGGTAGCTATAGTACGCTAGAGTACACGGGGCGGGCATTGGTGTGGTATAGGCAACTTGTTTTCTCGCCTTATAAGTTTTTTTCTGTCACCACCGTACATATATTATATAGCACGAATCACTTCTTTAATTTTTTCTTACTTTCAAATAGTTGACATGTGTGTGCCCTTCCCGAGAAATTTTCTTCCATTTAATTACGACCCTCCACACTCCTCTGCTTTTTTGAGTGACATAAATCGAGTTTTTATATATAATTTAGTCAATTTAGATTGGATGGTACAATGAGGCAGTACAGTAATTGCTCTAATACGCATATTTTCGGTCAACATGGCCAATTTATTTTTCCAAAAAAAACGGTGGTGGAGTACCCTTTGGTACGTTAATATAACGGACATCAACGTTTCTCGTACAACAACGGCATCCCATCGTTTCGCCTATAGCTTCCAATAATTCCATTTTAGTTATATTTTTTTCTTAATGTTTAATAGAAAAAGAAGAAAATTCTTCTTTATTTTTTTTCAAATTCTAAAACTGGATATTGGCTCAAAGATAATGAGATATATTATCTCTTCAACGGATATTTAAATAAAGGACTTGTTATAATAAAAATAAGCACTTTATATAAAAAAATCTTTTATTTCTTTTTGTTGATCAACAAGAAAAGGGGATCTTATCAAACCAACTAATTCTACAAAATTAAAATTGAAAGAAATATAAAGTAAGTGGACCTAACTCGATGCCCATATCTGCTAACACTTATTAGTTGCTAAAAATTAATTTGTGGATAGAGGTTTTTAGATGTATGTTTTTATTAGTGGCTTAATAGTCAGATGCTGAAAAATAAACAATTGTGAAGAAAAACTCATGAACTTTAAAATTAATTTCTAAATTTTAAAATTTTTGGCTATGCGCGATTGATAAGCTAAAGAGCAAGAAAATATATCCCCTGTTTTTCTTTGGTTGGAATTGATTATTATTATTATTTACAGTACTTGTATACACTAGGTGGTACAGTACTATAGGAGGGGAAGGACCGAGAAGTGGAGGAAAATATATATCACGCACAGTAAGAGGCATTTAACTATTTGCCACCTTTAAGATGTGTTAATTAAGAATTTGTTACTTGCAATCTATTATATGTGTGGATCCTCGTATGAATCCAGCGACAAATACTTAATTGTCAATTATAAGAGTGGTAAATAGTTAAATACTTCCTCCGTTTCCTATTATAAGACTTTCTAGCATTGTCCGTATTCATATATATGTTAATAAATCTAGACATATATAAATGACTAGATTCATTGACATATATATAAATGTGGACAATACTAAAAAGTGTTATAAGCTGAAACGGGAGTATATGTCTTTCGGCACAATAGTGTGTACGCATGGATGGAATTGCACAGACTGATGATATATATATGGGTGTGTTCGCATCTTCTGGTTGGGAATTCTCCCCCTTCGGTACGGAAAACGGAGCAGTCAATTAGCACATGATTAATTAAGTATTAGCTAATTTTTTTTTCAAAAATAGATCAATATGAATTTTTTTAAACAACTTTTGTATAGAAACTTTTTCCAAAAAACACACAGTTTAGTAGTTTGAAAAGCGTGCGTGCGAAAAACGAGGGAGAGGAGTTGGGAAAACTGTGATAAGAACACAGCCATATGCTGTCGGCTCGAACCGAGCACACATACACGCAAGGCTAACAGCGAGAGGAAGGAAATTAGTCAGGAATAGCCGCATTGAAGGAAGCAACGCAGAAGAACACACACAACACACCTGCACGCATGTGGTATACGTGCATAGCCGGCCACCGGCCGGTCGACGACGACTTTTTCTTCTTCATCATCATCTTCTTCCGATTACACGACACGCACATGCATCACTATACACACACACATTAATATCACACTCACACCATATGAATTAATATATCAATGCATTAACACATGTTCTAATCGATGGAAACCGACGGGACATTTTCGATCTCACTGAAAGAAGTAACGTTAACTATATAGCGGTGGGACAGACCAACTTGGTAAGTATGCTTCTTTCTAAATAACTATTATCCTAAAATTTTAATAAATTCCTCTCACTTAATAAGGGTTGGTTGGGAGTTGTTGAGGTAAGATGAGAATAAATTTGAAAGAGAATGGTTGGAATGAGGGGGAGAAGAGGAAATGTGTGGATGAATTAAGCATAACAGACATGTATTGGTCGATAAGGATAGAATATCCGCTACATCATCATGTAGTGAATGCTTGCAAAAATAGACATTATATATCATTGTACTTGTATTTGGTAGTTTGGCTGCACAAAACATATATACTTAGATGCCTACAGTTTGTCCCTAACCGATCCTACAATTTAACGTATGACTTCAGTTAGTAATGATACCTTAACTTGTAATACATATATTAATACTCCAAATGATTTTAAATGAAAAGATCATCAACTTGCAAGCTCATTGAGATATACAACTTTGATATATATGGCATCATCTGACGTCTTTTTCTAAGAAAAAATGTAGATCTTACAAGTTGAAATGTATTTTCTGACATGTAGACAATATCAATTGAAAAGTTGTTAACAAAGTTGTAGATCATGCCATTGAGATCTGCAATTTTCATATAGACCATATATCCATCAAAGTCATTAAAATTTCGAAAAATTAGTTTGTAAAATAGATCTGATAACTTTGTAATGCATAATCTAGCATGTAAGCAATATTAATTAAAAACATTGTCAACTATAAAATTATTATAGATCGTGTCGAGATCAGTACAACTTTGATACATAACATGTCTCCATCATTTTTGAAAATTTATTTTTAAATATATTTGAAACATGTACTGCATATTAAGAGACACGTGTGAATGGGAGTAACCTTTTTTTTTTTTTGAAAACTATGGGAGTAACCATTGACGCAGGTATATATATGTGCCTCTCGTATGTGGTAGGTATCCCATACACTTGTTATGAAACTCCATAATATTGTGTGTGCCACTTATTAATGATTATGTGGTAGTGTGTATATTTAAAACTAGGTGATTCCCTACACCTTGCTGCGAAAATTACTAAGCAATTTTTCCGACAATCAAGCTAGAGGGAAAAAAATAATAAAACATCAAGATTTACCAGTACTTATCATGAAACAAACAAATAATACTCGTGTTTTAATGTGAAACATATTGATAAGTATATGTTAAATATTATAAAAGTGATAGATAAAATTGTTAAAATATTGTGCAAATAATGTGAGGGATGATGATTGGATATACTTGCATGTTGATTTGTAGAATTAAATAAATTGTAGATGATGTTGTATGCTTGCATGGGTTAAATATGTAATTATTGCTAGTGGATGATGATGTGGCATGATTGCGTGTTGAGCTTTAAACTTAATGGGCTATAACTTTATAGAAAGTATAGATATGCAACCAACACATTTGTCATATTTACTAAATCAATAATAATATCCCATGCAACGCCCTCGCTAACCATCAACTTGTGTGATCACTTAGTAGGAGACCACTCTAATTAAGATACTATCTCTTTTCAAATTATAATTATGTCAATTTGACTTTGGTCAAAGTCAAATAACTTTAAGTTTAATTAAATTTATAAAAAATATAGTAATATTTGCAACATTAAATTTGGAACCGGTAACTCAACACATTTTCATAATATATTTGTCTTCGGTTGAAAATGTTACTATTTTTTTCTATAAATTTAGTTAAACTTAAAGTAGTCTAACTTTAATCAAAGTTAAAATACTTTATAATTTAACACAGGAGATACATAGTAGGAGTATATTCAATGGATTAATTAATATTTCTTCTTAACTGAGCGAGATCAGCATGGGCCACCTCCAACCTCCCCTGAAAACACATGATATACGGTTTTGGTACAATGAGAAGTGGTTGGTACCCGAATCACCTTTTGCTTGTCCAGTTTTGCCTACTCGATCCCCTCTCATATGCAATTTTTAGCACGCGAAGACAAAGTGTGTGTTTGGACTAGCAGCAGACGAGAGAAAATTAAAGCGTACGTGCCAGTTGTGTTGGTCGACCATGCGTATCATCGATCGGGTCGTTTTCTCGTGGCTCTGCTGTCTGAGATCTCTCATGCATACACATCCGATCGATATATCCATGCTCTCACGTTCCGACCTTATCTCACCTCACGATTAGTGGGGCGAAGCCATAATTTATACTAGCTGAAACCCTAACCCCGCGCATTGTAGCGGGATATTTTCTTGAGATTGGTGGCTGCATTTGGTAAATTGAAGTGGTACAAAAATCCATCACTATTGAATTGGTCCACGATAAAATTAGATGGGCCTCCCGTGGTGACGGTGTGAGATGGATTCGGCTGTGTTTTTTTCATCCAACGGTTCAAAGATGATCGAATCTACTGATCCAACAACTGAGAATTAATGATGATGTGACACATTGAGGTTTGAGCTTTAGGATCTTAATTGCACTTAGTGGGTTATAATTTTATAGTAAGAAGGGATAAGAGTAGAGGTAAACTAGTATATGTTTTTGTTTTTCTCTAAAAAAAATTTGAAGAGTAATCTCGATGGATATTTGAGCGTAGGAGTAGGGCTAGAGATAGTGGTATTTGAACCTACTGAAGATGATGAAGATAAAGATAAGTGTTTCACGTAAAATGATGTGGTAATAACGTGTGATTAATTGAGTTTTAATTATTACAAACTTAAAAAATAGATTAATCTAATATTTTAAAGCAACTTCCATATGAAAAGTTTTCGCACGAAACACACAGTTTAGCAGTTTGAAAAGCGTGTCACAAGTATCCAAAATTTCATCAACTTCTATATCTGCATATGTGTGATGTCACCCTCGGTTGTCCACCCATGCATATGATGCTTGATTGTCGATTGCATGCACGCAAGGGAGCTACCATATCTGATCGCAGCATGTCCAGCGACAAGTTAGAGTTTATTTACTCAATCTAATCTTAATTTCTTAATCTAAATATAATCACCTTAATTTCTTATGCGGAAATAAATTGATTCATTGACCTTGATGTGAAGCCATTTAAGCCGATGATCTAATCCTTTTATTTTTCTTCTTCTTCTCTTTTCTTTTTCTTCTTGCGACATACATCACGAATCCTTTCCAGTGATAAAATTGATCGGGCGATTGAATTAGGGCTTTAGGGTAGAGAGGATTCGGTGAAGTCGCCTTTGCCTCTTCTCCTCTTCCTAGACATAAGGACATTAGTGGGGTCCGGGGGTTTATTTCCAAATAAATTTAAATCTATTTTGTACGATCACACATAACAGATTTTATCTCTACTTTATTTCTTGTTAGGAAAATAAAACCGATGGAATTTAATTCTTTTCCTAACTAACCAATAATGAATTGATAAAATCAACCAACATGGCCATCAGGACGAATCAATTGACCAAATCCTAATAGCCTTCCCTGAGTCGCTTCAGTTCTAGTGATTGATCCTCAACACTATTGGGCAACCTTATTTCCTGGTTACGACGAGTTTTTCAATAGTTTGGAGGTGTGGCCGTAGAAATTAAATCAACAAGCATCGACACCATTATTGTTTTGATAGCATGGTCGATTTGTAATTAAAGAACACAATAATATATAGGAGTCTTCAATCACTAATAATGCTTTTGTCCAAAGTGGTGACTGGTGAGCACGACAGTTTAAGCTGTTTGGGTGGGAGGGCCTTTCACAGAAATATAAGTCCCTCCATTAGTTTCTCTAAAAAGAACATAAGTTTCTCTAGAAGGACATGTATTCCTATCCCTCCATAGGGATTTATATTTCCGTAAGAGGACTAATAGAGCATAAGAGCTAGGCTGCACGGGGGTCCTCAGCTACCCGCGGCTAGCTAGCACACATAATGGTTGATAGTCGGTCGCAAATCAATACCACAAGACATAGGCCTTGTATCCCTTTTCGATTCTTTTCTTTATTATTGTAACTTGTTGTACAACTTATACATATATTCTCTAAAATATTTGTTGTTAAATGGCTAAATAACCGAATGATTTATGATAATTAAACTGAGTGGGCAAACAAACGAATAAATATATTATATTTTTTATCTATCTATACCTAATTAAAAAATCTATAAAGCTTCCGGTAATACTTTTTTGTCCGTCTTTTTTTCTCTTTTCTTGGCTGTTTTTTCTATCTTTTTTTTTCTTTTCTTGCTGTTTTTATTTTCTGATCCTTTTTTGTCCGTATTTTTCTCCTCTTTATTTTTTTCTAGTTTTTCCCGCAGCAGTTTTTCTGCCGCCGCCTCGATCTATCTTCTTGTACCTTTTGTCCTCTTATTGATTGTAAAAATAGATCCCTACTCATTTCTTATTATTTTAATTTCCTTATGATTTTCCCTTACAATTTGGCTTTAATTCACCGGATCTAATCTCCAGCCGCCGCCTGGGCTGAACCCTAACTGCGCCATCACATCGATCTACCTCCCCTTACGTTTTCTCCTTTAATTAATTGCAAAAATTGATTCCCCATCCTTCCCTCATAGTTTCCCCCATGATTTTCCCTTTCAATTCGGTTTTAATTAATTCGTTGGATTCAATCTTCGTTTAACTGTCACCAATAATGACCGACCGACGAGCTTCCCCATTCCATTTTTATCCAGAGTTTTACAGATTTGCTCTGTTTTTGGGAAACAGAAAGAGGAGATCGAGTGAATCAAAATCCCTTGGCCAGGGAGATCAAAAAAGAATCAGCTGGATTTTTATGGGAGGGCACACAAGGATTCTCTCCCGAAGGTTCAAGACGGTATACTGAATGACATTGCCAGCTGTGATAACTAAGTATTTGTGGACTGGACGAAAGAGAGGCAAGCCGAGCAGGAAGAGATAGGAGACATCAGACTGTGCTAGGGCTAAAAAGGAAAAAAAAGTAATGAGCTTTCGGCTCAAAACGAAGAAAAAATTTTGATTAACATGTTTTCAATTATAGTGTATAGCAATTATAATGTTTCAAGCTATTGCTCAGTTCATAATAGAGTTGTTATACCACTAAGAAAAATGTATTTACCTGTTGCAACGTATTGATATTTTTTTCAAGTTAATCATAAAAATACATTAGCGTTTGTAAGCTTTCTAAAAACGTGCGGGTTAATCCATCGTTTTCATTGGTTAGAAAAAACGAATGGGCGCGGGGCCTCTTTTTTTTATACCCCGCGCGCACCTCCCAACCCAACAAACACCACATTTTGCAGCTGCTTCTAATCTATACGTGTTCTAGCTAAGCTAGCTAGCTAGCTCTCGTTCTCCGGCCATGTCGACGAGGGCGCCCGTCGAGCTCGACTTCCTCGGCCTCCGCGCCGCCGCCGCCGACGCCGACGACCGCCACGCCAAGAGCGGCGGCTCCTCCGCCTCCTCTTCCTCCTCCATCCGAGGTACGTGACGTGACGTCTGTCGACGTCGCCGTCGATCGATGATCTCATCTCACCGCCGCCGGCTAGCTCCGTGTCCCTCTCGATCGATCTGAGTCGATTGCTTGCGTTGCGAGAGCAGGGATGGAGACGAGCGCGATAGCGAGGATAGGGCCCCACCTGCTGCGCCGCGTCATCGCCGCCGCCGGACCTCCGCCACCGCCGTCGACGGCGCCGGTGCCGGAGGAGATGCCCGGCGCCGCCGCCGCCGCCGCTCCGATGACGCTCTTCTACAACGGTTCAGTCGCCGTCTTCGACGTCTCCCACGATAAGGTGTGTAATATACATGAGTAAATTATATTGGTAGTATATAAACTTGTTAGCTGGATGCAACTTAGTGAATAAACTTGTAAAATGCTTATTTCGATGCATGAACTTGTCTAGTTCGTGCGAACGAGGACTAAAATAGCTTGGCAATGTTCGTTTTATAAAGCTGATGTTGATTAGGATGTGACGTGCATATGTGTAGTGAGTATATATAAGATATGCAATATTTATAAATTTCGTCTCTACTTTATTCTTCATCATGGAAGTGATGAATTTCATATATTTCTAACCCTTATATCATTGCTTTTTTTAATCTTTTTTCTACAATCACTATATCCATTCTATTTTTTACTAAAGAGGTGTATTTCTAATAGCAAATCTTCACGTATATATGTTTACATGGTATCCTAATGAGCCCCTAAATTAATAAGATTAACCAGGTAGTGTCCTTTTTCCTTCCTCCGCACGCACCAGACAAGTTTATGCACCAAAACGAGCATTTTACAAGTTCGTGCACTAGATTGCACTCACCTGACAAGTTCATGTACCGGCGATGCAATTTACTTAATATATATTTATCGTCTAAGTTAATTAATCACAAATTATTAGGAGATTATCCGCGATTAGTTAGTTGTTAACACAGTAATATTATATTAATACTGTCGTCGGAGATAGAACGGCCAGCGAACCGGGGCACCTGTTGAACACTTGTACCTTCACCTTCACAGAACGCGTGTGATTACAAAACTAACGAAACTCGGCGCGTTACTGCTGCGAGAATTATGTATAAAAATATTATAAATAATACCCCTTTTGTTTTTTATTATATGTGATATGCTGTTGACTTTTCATTGATCATTCATCTTATTAAAAAAATTTATGTAATTATCATTTATTTTATTCTGATTTGATATATCATCAAATATTCTTTAAACATGATTTAAATATTTTTTATATTTACATAAAAATTTTGAATAAAACGAATGGTCAAATATTTGTAAAAATTCAATGGCGTCATATATTAAAAAATATTAAAAAATGGAAGTAGTATGTAAGATAGCTGGATGATTATTTACTTTATATAATTTTCATCTTTGATTGATCAATAAAAAATTATAAACAATTAAGATGATATGGTTTATAACAATTTAAAACATTCAAAAAAAATGAAACTAAGGTGATGTGACTTAATAGCAAAACAAAATAAAGGGGGATAATATAGATTAATTACCCAAAGACAAAACTACGATGATATGACCTTTCCTAGGAGAAGAAAAGTCTGTCCATTAAAAATCATACAGCGTTAACATAGAATTAATTTACAATCAAAATCATGGTGTAGGATCGAACTGCACCAAGTCTAAATTAAAAGAGTTCTTGTTTTTCATGCATGATGGCTGGAAGGGATGCGCACAATGATATACTATCTCCCTTAAATTAGCTTGATAGTGGTAGATAGTACAATTTCATAGAGATACAATCTTCTCAATGCTTTCCCTTTCCATATTCCATCCCTAGGCAGAGGCTATAATGAGGATGGCAACCGAGGCAACTAAAGCAAAAGGACTCGCTCGTGGCAATGCAATTGTAGGCAATTTTGCCAAAGGTTTGTTAATGTTAGTAGAATTGTTGCGAAAAGTAATCAGCAGAACAACAAAAATATGTTCTTTTTTAATCTGTTTTTTTTCCTGTGGCTTATAGTATTGTTCTTCAACTCTTCTTGTTTGCAGAGCCACTCACAAGAACTAAATCTCTGCAACGATTCCTCTCCAAGAGAAAAGAGAGGTATAGACAATGCAATTTTCATATATTTTGTTTGTCACCTAAATACACATTTTTTCCTACTCCCTGCGTTTCAAATTAATTATTATTCTAGTTTTATCATAAGTTAAGCATTTGTATTTTTTACCACCAATTTCCAGAAGTTTATATAATTTAACATCATAAGATTTATGTTTTGTATTCACTATGAGAAAACTTTCACAATATATAATCACATGTTTTTGCATTATTCAAATTTTTAGATATCAACGAACAAAATAGAAATATTTGACTTAGGACAAAATGAATGTGAAGTAATTAATTTGAAAAGAAAAGGAGTATGTATAAGTACATAGAAATAATGATTTGATCAAACCTTTTCAAAAAGAACTCAATTACACTTAAATAAAAGAGTATTAACATTTTCATTATTTCTCTCTCTAATTGGAATCTTCAGTGTGAGACTAGCTATCTACCTATAGTTGTATACTGTGGAAGCTCATGGTAGCTAAAGCTACCACATGGTGAGCTGACCGGAGACCCCAGAAGCCGTGTGGGCCCGGATGAGCAGTGCCCATCGACCTCTTACAACCACGTTTTAGTCGTGACGAATTAGTGCATGGAAAGTCTATGGGCTATGGATCATATCGACATGTGTGTGGAGGATAGCAAGTTTGCATATGCAATATCTCGATCGATTTGGTGATGATATATATATCGCAATGAAATCGATATATGGGGGCTGTACTACTTCATTGACCAACTAGCTACCGAATCAAATTAAGACTTATCGCAGCTAAAGAAGCAATAAACTAACTGAAAGCAAAGATATGTCTTTGACCACACCACACGCACATATCATTAAGGCTTTGATTTGATTGTGCTTTAAAAGATCGGTTTGGTTCTGGTTGTGTGTTGGCTAAGGTGGTGTTTGGATACAGGACTTAACTTTAGTCTCTATATCTAGACACTAATTTAAAGTATTAAATATAGACTACTTATAAAACTAATTACATAAATGAAAGCTAATTTGCGAGACAAGTTTTTTAAGCCTAATTAATCCATAATTAGAAAATATTTACGGTAGCATCACATAGACTAATCATGGATTAATTAGGCTCAATAGATTCGTCTCGTGAATTAGTCCAAGATTATAGATGGGTTTTATTAATAGTCTACATTTAATATTTATAATTAGTGTCCAAATATCCGATGTAATAGGAACTTAAAAGTTTTAGTCCCATCTAAACATGGTCTAATTCGTTTGTCCCAGACTTGAAAAATGTGGCACTGATTTCTCTTCCTTTCAAATATATATATATATATATATATATATATATATATATATATATATATATATATATATAACCATTAACTTTTAAACATAACATTTAACCATTCTTTTTATTAAAAAAATTAGTGTAAATACGATGAAAAATAGGTAGCCTTTAAATTATCTTCAACAACAAAATTAAGCCGCAACAAAATAATATGATACCTATACAGCATTTTAAATAATACAAATGATCGATCCAAAAGGGATCGAATAAGTGATACTTAGATAGTTTTTCAAATAAGACACATGATCAATTCGAAAGTTAACATCATCATATATTTAAAAATTTAAAAATTGAAGTTAGCCAAACAAACAGGTGTAGTAGGGTAGTGTAGTAAATTGTTGGCTAATTACCATCCTGCTCAACGACGTTGCCAGTGTCACTTTCCATCCTTTTGGGGTAGCTAGGTGTTGACCTAGTTAATACTCCAATAATCACCACCAAACCTAGCTACTTTGTTACCCACTTTAACTAACGAATATATATATATATTTTGCATTGCCTTTTTCTTTTCTTTTTTTTCATTACTAATTGATATTGAAACGTGCAGGTTGACCAGCTTGGGTCCGTACCAGGTGGGTGGGCCCGCTGCCGTCGGTGCGACGACGTCGACCACCACCAAGTCTTTTCTTGCGAAGGAAGAGGAGCACACGGCGTCCTAGCTAGCCTCCTAGCTAGCTAATTACTGTTGATTTGGTCCCCTTGATTAATCGTTTATTATTAATAATTATTTCATTGATTCCATCATTAGTAGAGGGTACAGACCAGGCAGGGGCCAGTTAATAATCCTGTTTAGTGTTGATCGATCGATAGATTAACCATACTCCATATGTAGGTCTGTGTGTAATATTGATTTATATATATAGTAGTATCTATAGTTGATTACAAGGTCATGGATTTTATGGATGTGTAAAGCAAGCTTAGAGTGAATATTGGATGCATTTATGATTTATACTATGTAGTTGTACAAATTACTCCATCCATGTGCCTGAGTTATTTTGTTTTTTTAGACTGAACATGTGCTGGGAACGAACACCCATATTATTTCGCTTATGATATGCTTATCTGTAAGGTTTATTAGTAAATAAAAATAATTCATGAGTATTCAAAAGTAAATTAACTCTAAAATTAAAATTTAAAATTCAAATTAACTCTAAAATTAAATTTTAAAATTCAAATTTTGACTTAGATAAGCATAAGCAAAACAATAAGGCTGGAAAATTTATGGTCATTATATCAGACTCTCCACTCTCATTAATGGTAGATACAACATTAGATTTTCGAAATGTTTTTGAAATACAAATAATCAGAGGATGTTTGGTAACAACGTGGAGTATCAGGTGAAACAATGTGCACTAATCTTATGGATCACGGCTATGAATTCAACTCCGTTCTATAGTGCCGATGGATGACGGATAAAAAGTTGAGTTTATAACAATTACTCGAGGACAGAAACGGTGATAGTCGACTTTTAAAAGAAGTTCACTTAAAAAAACATGTTGATGAAGAAAGTTTTTATAAAAAGATTATACCACTTTGGAGTTTGAGGAAATATGCTTACGATAATCCTTCAAGTAGTCGACCTCAACCTTACCATTACAATTAGAAGTATTCCAAGCTAACCTTTGACTGCAAGCGTCCAATTAAACCTCACAAATTTGCAAACACGTTTTTCTTTTTTTGGGTGTGTGTGGTTGTTGCTGTGGCTGATGCAGTCAAATTGTGAAACGATTGGAGCAGAGAACATCCAAAAGAAAAAAAAGAGCTTGTGGACAAATCTTCAAGTCGACCAAAAACACAGCTAGGAGAAGTTGGGCAATTTTTCTCGTCCTTTTGCTCACTAATCACTATCGCGTGAGCAGTCAGCCTCACGATCAAATTTGAAAACGTGGTAAAAATCCACTAATTAATCCAGGTTGCTTGGGTTGGTTTTGTTGGACGAGTCTTGGTTTGAGGCAAGCTGCCTTGCAAAAGTAGAAAAAAAGGGGTCAAAAGGGAGCAAAAGAGAGAACTGAAATGGGGAAAAAAAAAGGTGAGTCTGGAATGCAGCTCACCACCTGTAAATTAATAGGCATGGTTATGAATTTTAACCATATAGATTATTAAGCATACATTAAGCATGATGGAATTGGTGTTACCATAAAGGCATTGACAAGGAACTAGAGTAGTGAACCTTCCATATTGCACAATTGCACTAGATTTGTTCTTCACCAATCTGCAGAGCCGTAGACGTTTCCACGGTTCTTTTCGTTTTCCATAAACACCAACCATTGCAACCATCAAAAGTGGAAGGTAGAGTGTACAAGCATCATTGGTTTGTTTGGTGAAAGAAGTTAAAAATTGATAAATTAACTTGAAATAAGTGGAGACTGCACATGCAATACCGTTCCAGAGAAACAAGAGTCCACAAGAAAAAAAGGGGCAATGCAGATATGCTGTGTTCTAAGAATGATTTTACTATATCAGTAAATGTTGTAATTGTGACGATGATTTTGGGCAACTTTAATGAGCACCAATTGGTTGCATATTTGAAGAAAGTGTCATCGAATGCAAGGGCATCGATTGGTGGTAACCAATGCTGAAAAGCGTTTGAAGAACTTTCATAATTTAGTAGCATTTTGAAAAGTTTGAAAATAAGGCTCGTCTTCCTTAATTCACAATGCAATTGCTATTGATTATAATGCTTGTAGAAATGTTAATGGAACACATTTCTTTAAATTCTAGGGAACCAAAAAGAGCCTTAGAAGAAAGTATGCCACAAAAAAAAAAAAACCTGAAGCTCTGTCAAGCTGGACTGATGCCGTACACTTGGGCCGATGACATAGCCATCATGCTAGATGAGATAATACCCTGAGCAACATATCCAGCAATTTGACCTGCTGTTCTGCCGTGATTTCATAAAGGAGCTCAAGCCATTCAAGATGTGGAAGCTACTTCAGTAGGCCATCCCTGTGATGTTTGGTCTAAGCTGCAGCCTGTAGGCTGCAGCATATCCACTGCAAACCCCTGAATTATTCATGATCACGCCAAGAGTTTCATCTTCAAGAGCTGACATCCTGCTGATTCTCCGTATTTGAGGGGTATAATGTGTTGAAGACGACCAGTGTAAAGACATTTCTTACTTCTGCAGGTGTACCATAAGATAGATCATGATAATCAATATTTCCATCTCTCTTCGGTTCATAGCCATGCTCCTTTTTCCCATGTTGAACACATTCAATTAATTTGAGAACCTTTAGGTAGGCTTGTAGTGGGATGAATACCTACAAGGAAGAGAGCTATCTTTAACAGAAATAAACAGGGAAATGATGTAAACTGTTGCAGTGACTGTAAATATGAAATGTTCTAAATAGACATTCAAAGCCCTCGTACTGATATTATTGTCTAAAATAAGTTCTATCAAGGTGGACCAGTAATTTCTTATGAGGAAATGATGAACTTTTTTTTGTCACAATTTAACAACATTATTGTTGCCTGGCTAACAAAACAAAAACAGTAGTGGATCTTATGCATCTCGGTAAATATGAACATATTTGAGTTCATACACCTGAAAATTTTCATAGATGTAGGACAAGTTGGAACACATGCATTTGTATACATTTACGCAAATATATAAACAAGTGAACTTCAATTACAACAGATGTGTACAAAGTTGTCTTAACAGTTCACATGATCAATAATTTTTTTCATTCACATGTTATAACATATGCTACACCAATGATTTTTTTTTCCTTTGGTTTCTCAAATGCACGAACATATGCAGCTTATTAATTTCCCCATGATAGAAGTTCATCATCAAATTATAGAAGTATGACTGAGCTTCCGTATTATATATTTCTAAATAGCTAAACAGAGTAACTTGATACTAATAGACAGATCTCATGACTTCCAATAAATGAAAAAAAGAGTCCAAACTAAAAATGGAAGGTAGAAGTATATTGTGCTTACAAGATCTGAGGATGGTGCCTGAGGAATTTTTGCCATAGCATTTGCAACAAAATATTCATCAGTCATTTCAGTTAATGCCCGCCGCATTGAGACAGCTAGGCTTTGCACCTCGCCTACCAAATGCTTATCATCCCAGACTTGGGGTTCTAATAGCTCTGAAAATCCGGTATTATGTTGACGGTTGATTGATTTTCCAATATCTAGTGCCAATGACATATCACCTCCAAGGTATAGAGCTAGGGCAAAAGTAGCTACCACTAAAGGATCACGCGGTTGGCGTACTAATGCTTCATGAAGTGCTAAAATACTTATCCTGTAAAATGGAAGGAGAATAAAATGCCATTTTGCAGAATAATAGTGAATCCAAGTAATCTCAAATAAAAACATGTGCTTTTTCAAAAGAAGTTTGAAACATTTAGTTCTTGAGTAGCATTCATACTAGCTTCATAAATTCCATCTTTGTCAGTTTAAACAATCCAAACAGCTAGAAATAAAGCAATCAATGTATAAATTTTGGCCTCGGTTATAAATAGCAAGTTGAATAATGCATATCTCACCACAAACTATTATGGCATGGCCTGTTAGGAGCAAGAAAATTATCCAATTTAGAAAATAAGACCTGCATACACAACAAACAAATTAGCAACTAAAGCTACATTGAAATACATTGTGCATATCTCAATTAGCAGCATACCACCAAAACATGAAATTGATGATTTCAAAAGAAAATAAACACCTTACTCCTGATTAATCCAGATTTAACAATAAAAAACTTAAACAAGCTAAGCTTTACAGTTTACACACAGCTAGTGAAAAAGTTGAATTTGAATTGATAAAATTTTCCATGATCAAGAATTTAAAAGTAATTCATAATGACCTCCATCACAAAATTAAAGTGCACATGAACAAAATTCTGTTATGGAAAGCAAACACAAATAAAACAAGCAGAGCACAAGAAACAAGGGCTGCCATTTATTTTGAAAGCCTGCAGCATACAAAGTTGCAACACGGCAATATTAACTTGTCGCAGAAGGTCCACTTGAATCAATCTCTTGTACATCATCAAGAAGCAACAATTTCGAGGATAACAATGGTTCATAATCACGGTCCGAGGTGAATGATCTTTTTCCAGCTTCAATTAACTAAATAGCTCAAAATCAAACTTACCAGTAGCATGTTAGTTCCTTTATCCTTCCTCTTAAAACGAGTTGAAGAAAAATATGCTGCCTGTACAGTACATTCAAATCATTCAACCAAAAGCAGAAAACCTAACAGCCATATGAAAACTTAACTTTTAGAATCTAGATACTCCATGCATCCACTAATAGCGCATGCAAGACTTGTAGATTTTTACCAGCAAATGCAATTAATAAAATTATATGCATCAAAAGTTATAACAAATTACCAATATAATCGTATTTCAAATTACTTTCTTATGGCATTGATTTTATAGCTTTAATAGTATATTGCATAAGCAACCAATGTCAAAAGTCTAATTCTGAAGAGTTCTCCCAATCAAAATATTCCCTACATAAGTGGATGGATGGAGTATATATATGCTCAGGGGAGAGTATGGTTATACCTGAAAAGGCAGCAGGTGTTCAAGAAGACCGAATCTCCAAAGCAACCTTAAAGAAGCTTCAGCTGAACCATAAGCAAGCATATAGTTGATCTCCATGAGTATTCTTCCCTGTAGCAGATAGACATTTAGAGGCAAACAAGAAAAAGATCCAAAACATTCTAAAAAAAGACAGTGTGCATGTCAAGCCTTGACCTTATCAAGTCTTGCCACAGAGCAGGCAAGAGTTCGCACATAATAAGCAGTTTCTTTTGGAAAGTTGAACCCTAAACGAGCTGCAATTCTGATTGCACGTAGAATACGAGCTGTTAATTACATGATAGCATTAATACCAAAAGTTCACATGAAAAACAAGGCAGAAAAATCTAGAAAAAGCATAGTTGAATTTCAGATACTGACCACAGTCCTCCTGGAATGATGTGCCAGCTGGAATCACGGTACGAACCTAGTGAAAGGGCATAAAGAAGATTACAGGATGAGTTGATTCATGAACACGGAAATAGGATGATTGGAAATTGAACCAATAAACATATAAAGTAAATAGGTACAGCTTACCTTAGCTTTCTTAATATCCTCGATTCCTCCGAAGTAGTCGTAGATCTTTTCTGCATATGGATTGAACATTAACCTGCAAACATTTATCTTGAGAAAAATATACACTAGACCCTGCAATATGGCCAGCAGATATCATTAAAAAGGATAGATACACTAACCCGTTTATAGTGAAGTCCCTCCCTTGGCAATTTTTCCATCGGATATAATCATTTTTGCTACAATGGGGGCTCTTGGACGTGTAAATTTGATTGCTAGTTGACCCTCGTGCATAAGTGTTAAAACTTGATACCTGCCAACAAGAAGACACCAGAAATATCCAGGTCGCTCTAAATCTTAGGTTGTGAAAGAAAATCTAATTTGTCAGAATCAAAGTGCGCAGTTTGCAATGAGCACCCAAAATTAAGATATATGTCAAGGATACCAGAATTGACAGATAGTAAGAATGATTATGTCCTAACCTCAACAATTGAATTGTTCTCATATACATGACATATTGGGAACCGCCTTCCTACTATAACAGCTGATCCTGAGAAAGTGTCTTTCACCTGCAGGAGTTGGAAAGTAATATTTTTAATCTCTATAAAGTATTATAAATTAACCGATGTAATCCTGGTATCAACATTTAACAATCACACTTTACTTTTCACAAACAAAAGTGAAAAATTAACATATAAAGTATTTTGCAGGCTTTTTACGTGAATGCTTGAAATATTCCTATATTTCAGAACATTGGATATTACATTTTCTAGTGCACGGAATATATCATTGTCAACACTGAACAATCTAATCTTGCCGTTGCGAAAAAGGGAGGTGACAAATGCACGGTAAGCAAGTTACTTATTTACTTATCTTTGTTGACGTTGATATTTGCAAAAGCAAAAGCAAACTACTGTGGTAAACTTCCTATGAACCAATTTCAGTAAAAAAAACCAGCTCTAGGAAAATGCATGCCACAAACCTCAGCTAGAAAAATTAATGTAAGAACAACACTTCCTCCTTCTAACAAAAATAAGAACATCACTTCATCAGCATAAGAAGCTTGGTAATTTGAATTATAACCTGCCTAAGATCAGCTGTGGTTATTATGTCAAAATCTTTTGGGGTTTTCTTCATTATGAGATCTCGAACACAACCACCAACCAGGTAGACATCATATCCTGCAAAATGAAGAAAGAAACCATCAAATATTATATTACAGCAAGTACCTTTTTTTAAAAAAAAAAAGAGCGGTAGCCCAGCTGTAACACAAAATCTTATATTATCACTGTGGCCTTAGAGTATTTATTTTTACAAAAAAAAAAAACAGTTCAATCAAATAGCATACTCAATTAATATAAGATTGCACCTAGTTCAGAAAAAGGAAAGACAAAACATGGTAGTTTAAATCGAATACAGTAAAATGCAATAATATTTGCCATAAACAGGCAATTTCTCAGACATATTTAGTGAAATTTACAACAAGATGAGCAAGCAAGGTATCTGATGATAAAGCAGAGTAAATTCAGTTCAGATAATAATTCAGCATTTCACCTGTTCTTATTAAGAACAGGCTAGCACTAAATCTAAGCATTGCAATAGACTACAAATTACCACAATAAATATAACAATAAAACAAATATGTCAAAATAAATATTTTTTAAACAATGGCCATAAGGAATATTCATAAAAATGACAGTTTTACACTAAATCCTGATCAACAGATTTACAGATGTCAGTCGAATGAAATGTCATGTGTAACTTTTTTTTTGTTTCTCCAGAGACGGGAAGCGATATGTTCCTGTTCCTACCGGAGAAATTTTCAGGATGTTGGTTTATGTTCCCCACCACATAAACCGTGGGAATAATACACGATACACGAGGGACACAGAGTGATCATTTCCACTACTTGGTGCTTGATTCCACCAAACGATTGCATGTTCGCAACCACGGGGCATCATCAGAACCCATACAAGAAATCGAGCATGTCTGGAACTCAGATTAACTAACACTTGAGTCTTGTGTACGGTAAAAGAGGAAGAGACATGGACGCACACGCACCTCTGCTGCGGAGGCGGTGGAGGACGTTCCAGGCCTCGTCGGGGATCATGGAGTCCTTGATCCCGAACCGCTTCGCGCTCACCTTCTTCCACTCCGGCGCCTCCGCCGCCGCCGCCGCCCCACCTGCGCCCCAAGCCACCCCAACATCCGGCAAGTAAGATAACCGACGACGCGGGCACTAGCAGAGCCGCACAGTTCGAACGGGGCACCAGACGCGGAGGAGGGAGGAGAAGAACCCTTACCGGCGTTCGCGGGGGCGGAGGAGGCGGGGTTGGAGTCGGAGTCGGAGGGCGCGGGGGAGGGCGACGGGGAGCGGCGCCTGCGCCGGCGCGGCGCCGCCAGCGCGGCGAGCGGGGACGGCGCGACGCGGGATGGGCGCGAGAGCGCCCCGAGCCCCGCCGCGGCGGCGAAGCGCAGCTCCGGCGTGCGCAGCGCCATCCCGGCGGCGGCGGCGGCGGCGAGAGGAGAGGAGGAGGAGGATGGATGAGGCGGCGAGAAGGTAATCTGCGACTCTCCTCTACTGCACTGACCGGTGGGGCCCACTTACCAGGCCCCAGGTAATGGGCCGGTTTGGGTCGGCCCAGTAGGTGCATTCCCAGATGGTGGGCCGGAGAGATCGAGACATGGGCTCTATGGGCTAAATAAAGCCCACAACGCTCTAGCAGGCCAGGATTACCAACGTACCGGATCCCTCACAAAAAAGGTTAATGGAAAATGGAAATCGCGAAATAGCACTACGAGTACTTGAATTGAATCGATCCATCTCTACCAGACTCTACTCCACTTCACTATCATCACGTACGTATCTCTTCGTAAATAAACTGAGGGAAACCTGAGATTATATTTGATATACAAAGGTCCCATCGTTTCACTAACGGCTTATTCACAAACGAAGAATAATTTGTGAATATAACTTTTATATACGTATTCTTAGCGATCTAAAAGTAAAGGCTAAAAAATAAATTTCGATAAAAAAAACCCATAAAATCAACTCCAAATTTATGATTGAAAATTTAAATTTTAGCTGATAAGCATAAGCATAAGTGAAAAAATGAGGCCGAAAATAATTACAAGTGGAAAGAAGTTCACTTACATCCCTCAACTAACGGTTGAGTTTGAATTGTATCCGTCAACCCTAAAACCGGGTATAACACACCCTTTAAGGCAAACAACAATGTTTATTAACAAGGTTGGCAATAAGATGGTCCCAAAAATAAGTGGGTGGTAGCTAATACATATGCTAATGCAAAAAGTGAATATAAGGTAGGGCCCACAAGAGAAAAAAAAAAGACCAATCTCTAGCCTCCCCTACACTGTTCATTGTACAAACTAGTAGATACCCCGCCGCGTTGCTGCGGGCTTGATAGATGACTTATGCATAGATTTTTCGTGACTCAAATAATGACGAAATGGGAAACTAAGTGCCTTCTAAAAATCATAATATTAGTTTACGGGGATGCATTACATCTATATTCAGATAACGCATATGATTGTCCTTTACGGTTCATATTGACACTACATGCAAGCTGCGGTATATATGCAGCTGTGGTAAGTAGCAAAAAACAGGTTGCAGGTAGCAATAGATATCGATATCAAAAGACAACGGCTGAAATATTTTGATACTTTAAAAATAATATAAACAGTTTCAAACATTTAACTCCTATTGGAGTCAAAATATTCAATTATGTAGAACTTGTTCTTAGATGTCTAAGAGCAAGACTTGGATGCAGTAAGGAAAAAATATGCACAAATCAAAGAAGATAGTGGATTCTAAAATACATAAATAAAAAAAAGAGTGAATTGCACTATGGACAAGTTATTCTTACCATAGTTGCACTATGGACCAGGTGAATGTTAATCTTTTCACTTGAGGCCATATATCTTTGCATTGTGTTGCAATTTGGACCAGGTTAAGCATGTTGAGCTGCCAGCAGCCATCCCAGCTATGTGAGTCATCCCTCGAGTACCATGTTTGCAAGGGAAATGGGAATCAGCGGCCACCATGGACATGGATAGTGTAGACCGTCTCTGCTTTCGAAAGATTAAGTGCATGAATATTTGTTGCAGGAATTAATGCAAGCATGCTTGTTTACTCAATTATATATCTACAATCATAATGATTGTGGGAGTTTAATTTGATGCCCCAAGGGTCATCGTCTGGGCAGAGGACAAAGTCCAGCTTGGGCAGGAGCAGTTTAATTCAAGGAGCCGGATGTTCTATTGAAGTTGGAGATTGATGAAGTTGACGCCGTTCGGCTCCACAATGCAGCCCCTGCCGGCATATGGATCTTATCCGACGAATTGGACGCTGGTTTCACCCATTTCTGATATCCTCTTCACCTGATCTCCCTGTCTGAGCATGGTATCTAGATATTCTACGTATCAAAGAAGGATTGCTATACCCTGGTCCAAGCTGCAAGCAAGTGTAATCTTATATGGTGTTAATATAGGATCCACGCATGGGTTGCAGGGTTGGGATGGGAGGTAATGATGGTGATTATATAAAGCCATGAAGCCTCCGTCAGTTACTCATATCACTATATATATCATTCATTGAAGGCGAGGAGTCCGTCGGCGGTAGAAGAAACGTATGCCAAACAATGGTTTCATTGTGCTGGAAGACGGGGAGATGTGCATGGAGATAGCAAGACTGCAAAAGGTGTTTATAGGTCTGGAGAGTGCGGAGACGGATTCGCTTTAATTACACCTGTTGGTTTCTACTGAAGAAAGACAAACGTCACTATCTGATAGTTGTTATTGCCACCTTCCACGATGCTTGTTCTTGGTAGTAAAACTATTTTATTGCTTACTACCTGCTTTTATACCACATTGTGCTTGTTGTTATGTTGCAAAACCAATTAGCTTATTCCATTATTACAAATAGAAGTTAACTTGTTCTTAGGTGTTGAGAGACGCGTTATATCTGGTATTGCAGTTTTGGGACGTGTTTCAAACTCGACGTCAAGGAGAGAGACCTAAAGTGAACTTATTCCATTACAAATAGATCACACGATGTAGCATATGGGCCAGGGCCAGGCACGTCGCCTTTCCACAACTGGTGTATGGGCCTCCGGTACGTATACTTCACCTTGGGCTTCGAAAGCAGCTACGTGGTAACTAGCTAGCTGTGTTTCAATTTGCAGCTTATTTACATCTTATAATTTCTCTGTGTAGTAGTATAGCTTAGCTCCACGGGTGTAGCGAATGAAATAATGATAATATTAATCTTACTGCTTAATCTGTGTTTTCAATATTTATTTCACGGCTAATTTGTGGAGCTAGCAGCTAGGCTGCAAGTTTGCTACAAGTTTACAAAATTATATTATAAAACGAAGGGAGTAGTGAATAGTGATCATCTGAGCCATATATATCATGCGTGGAACTCTAGTGATCATCATCACCTTGGCGACATTTACATACTAGCTACATATATATGGGTCCTCATGTAATGTACCACGTCGTCCTTACTGCCCCCACATTATCTTCAGTATAATTGCACAAATCTCCTAAACAATTAAGAGGAGAGAATCAAAACTTATGAAAAAAAAACCATGGATGCAAAGGTACACACATTCGACACATAGTACATATATTTAAGCATGCCATGCATACATGGGCCACATGCATGCAAGAACAACGCATGGATCTCGATGTCGATGCCCACTTTTGCTCGAGCAAGCAATATCCTAGCCATGCAAAATGTGGGAGAGATACGAGACTATAGGTTTGTTTGGGAGCTTTGAGTAGATTCTCACATAATTAAAAACTCCCTTAAATAGTTCGGTTTCTTATTCAGATTCTGAGAAGCCGTAGTTATGGAATCAACGAAAATAAATTAGAAGTCAGAAGCTTGTTTTCCCAGATTTCTCACCAGACAGCTCTTTCAGCCTAGAATCTAAAGCTCCCCAAACAGACCCCACGAGAGAAAGAGATGCATCGTCTCTTGCGAAAACGAGACATATATACCCAAGGGCACGCATGCATCTATGTGAGCACTTTAGTTTGTGCTGGCTAGCTAAGTTACTCGATCTCTTTCCATGCATGTAGTGATGATCAATGATAGCCGGTGATGAGGGTATATGTGTATGTTGTAGTGGGGTTCACTGTCTGTCTATCTGTCTGTCTTTTTCGATTCATGCATGCATATGCTAGGCTATATAGCTTGCTGCTCGATCGATCGATCCCCATTAGCTATCTAACTTAATTTCGGTGCCATGGCAAGTGGCAACTCGATCGTTTTGTAAATCTGTGTACTGCTCTCTCTCTCTCTCTCTCTCTCTCACACACACACATATTTCATCAGACACTGTAGCTTGTATGCTGAATCCATGCATGCATATATGTATATTTATCTGCAACTATCATGTAATTCTTTCATTTCATATTATATGTCGTCTGATATTTTTCTTAGTCAAATTTCTTTAGATTTGATCAAGTTTAAAAAAAACATACTAACATTTTCAATACAAAACAAACATATTATCAAAATATATTTAATATTAAATTAATTTGGTGATGTAAATGTTACTATTTTTTTCTATAAACTTGGTTAACCTAAAGAACTTTGACTAAGAAAAAAATAAAACAACTTATAATATGAAACGTAGAGAGTATATATATGCTTCGACAAACTAAATCAAGGCATGGCAAGATTGAAAGAAAATTCCCCGCAAAAAAAAGATTGAAAGAAAATTATTTTAGTTCATTGTCATCGATCTCGTTTGTATTTGTTCTCTCCAGTGGCGGATTTAGACCATTTCTGTGGGGGCGGCTGACCCCACAGTTTTTTGAAAAACACCCTATAAACCTCGATTTTCATGTATAAATCCAAAAAAATTAAAGAAATGATCCTACTTAAATATTAACCACTATTAATTTACCCCATAGGTATAAAATTCTAGCTCCGCCACTGGTTCTCTCTCTTAGAATATTTTTGCATGGATCGATGCTTTAACAAAATATGCATGCCAATCAGTGTACTGTGGCACATCGTTCTAACTAGCTAGTTGTACTATAGCTAGCTAGGGTTTCATGTATAATTCTTCGTGCGCTTCGCACGCTATAATGATATCAAAATATTTCATTCTCATTTTCTAATTATATTATATTCCATGCATGTAGAAAGCATATGCAGGCATGCATCCACCTCAGAGGGCATTACAGATTGTTAGTTTTTTGTTGTGTCCAAGCTGGTGGCTTTTCTTATTTCCTGTTGCCTTTTCTGACTAAATTAAATAATATAATATTATTAAGTATGTCATGTCATGTTTGATGACGATGCTGCTACTAGTTAGCTATATACTGCTTTTATTTTTTTTCAGACTCTAAAAGTTTCCTAGATCCGCCAATTTCCTCCGTTAAAAAAAATCTAGGATAGGAGGGGACAATAGCATAACCTAGTACTATATATATAATGAATCTGGACAGGTTACTGTGTAGATTTATTGTACAAGAATATGTCTCCTCCTAT